TATTAAAAATAGTTAAATCATTGTTATTAACAATTAAATAATAATTTCATAAAAAAAATATAAAAAATGATTTTTAGTATTGTTATTATGTTGAACTATATTATAAGAGATATGGTTTGAACTTAAAATTGTTTTGCATGTACAAAGTTATATGATTAAAATAGAAAAAAATTAATTTTTAAAAATAAATAAATTGTTATTGTTATCTATTAAATAATAATTTCATATTAAATTAAAACGTTTATATTAAATATTGTCATTATGTAGAATATACGATAATAGAGACATCTTTTTATCTATCTTAAATTTTATCATTCTGTACAACATATGATAATAGAGACAACTTTATATCTTAAATAGTAAAAAAAATTTGTGTATCATAAATATTACCATAATTATGTGGAACATATGATAATAGTGATGTCTTTTATAAGGTTAAAACTTTTAATTGTATTACATACAGGGTTGTAAAACTTGGCTAACACAACCAAATACTCGACATGTTACTTAAACTCGGCCTCAAATGGAAGCGACTTAAACTCGGCCTCAAATGGAAGCGAGTTTGTCTAACTCAGCCAGAAGACACTCGGATCCTTATTAAACTTGATCCAAATCTAAAAGATACGGTCCAAAATCATTTTCAAAATTCTGAAATTTAATTGGTCACTTGTTGACAAAGACAATCTCACCAAAGAATACACTCAACATCCTACAAAGTTAGATGCAAGAAAGATCTCATGATTTAGTCCCTTTAAAAAGTTTCACAACCTTTCCTATTTATAAAGGAGAATACATTCTCTTGTTTACTCTCACGATCAATGTGGGATGAAGACATTTTAATTAAACTCATTTCTTTATTTGCCAATAATTTCATTTTGTTAAATAAAATATTAAATAATAAAAATAAAACGTTATCTAGAAAATTTATTGTTCAATAGTTCCATTTTTCAGTAATCTCGTAAGTTGCTATAAAAAATTAAGTTTTTATTTAATAACTTTTTATTAAATCCTAAAATCATAAATTCAGTTAGGTACTTAATATAGAAAGTTTGTTTATATGTATTTTCATGATTCAAAATGTCATTATAAAATGAATTCATTTATAAAATATAATCGAGTATATATTTCGTGCTTTTGAATCAAAGTGATTTTCCAAACAATTATAATTTTATGTTTAAGTAGATTTTTTATATTTATATAACATTATGTAACTTATAATATTATTATAAACAATTTGAATAATCATGAGAGTTTCAAATGTATATGGTGAAAGGAAAATGCTTCAATTATCGGTCCAAATTGATCAAACTTGGATCGATTCAACTTAATATACCAAACTGAATAACGTTTTTTCTATTGAAACCCGGTTTGTATATATTTTGTGTTTTTGAATCAAATTTATTTTTCAAACAATTATAATTTTATTTTTGGTAACTTATTTATAATATTATTAGAAACAATTTGAAAAATCACGAGAGTTTCAAATGTATGTGCTGAAAGGAAAATGCTTCCTTTATCGGTCCAAATTGATCAAACTCATATCGATTCAACTCAATATACCAAATTGCATAACAGTTTTTCAACTGAAACTCTGTTTGAACCTAAAAAATCTTGTTCAAAACCATTTTCAGGATTCTAAAACTTAAATGGATAGTTGCCAATAAAGACAATCTCACTAAAGAATACCCTCAACATCCTAAAAAGGTAGGTATAAGGAAGTTCTCATAGTTTGCTTCCTTTGAAACATTTCACAACCTTTCCTATTTATAGAAGAGGAAACGTTCTCTTGTTTACTCTCACCATCGATGTGGGATGAAGACATTGTAATAAAACACACTTTCTTGTAAATAAAACATTATTCAACTTATTTAGTAAAACACCTTTCTCTTGTTTACCCTTTCTTTATTGTTCAATAGTTCTATTTTCTATAATCTCGTAAGTTGCTATCCAAAAAATTAAGTTTTTATTGAATAACTTTTTGTTTAATTCTAAAATCATAAATTCAGTTAGGTACTTAATATAGAAAGTTTGTTTATATGTATTTTCAAGATTCAAAAGTTCATTATAAAAAGAATTCATTTATAAAATATAATCTGTGTATATATTTCGTGCTTTTGATCAAATCGGATTTCAAACAATCATAATTTTATGTTTAGGTAGATGTTTTTTTATATTTATATAACATTATGTAACTTTTTTAAAATATCATTGGAAACAATTTGAAAAATCATGGGAGTTTCAAATGTATGTAGTGAACGGAAAATGTTTCTTTTATGGTCCAAATAGATCAAACTCGGAACGATTCAACTAAATATATCAAACTACATATTTTTTTTCTAGTGAAACCCGGTTTGTATATATTTTGTGCTTTTGAATCAAAGTGATTTTTCAAACTGTTATAATTTTAGGTTTAGGTAGATGCTTTTTTATATTTATATAAAATTATGTAACTTATTTATAATATTATTAGAAATAATTTGAAAAATCATGGGAGTTTCAAATGTTTGTTGTGAAAGGAAAATGATTCATTTATCAGTGCAAATTGATCCAACTCCGGTTCAACTCAATATACCCAACTACATAAATTTTTTTCTAACTGAAACACGGTTTAAACCTGAAAAAATTCGGTTCAAAACCATTTTTGGAATTCTAAAAGTTAACTGTACATTTGTCAATATAGACAATCTCACCTAATAATACCTTCAAAATCCTAGAAAGGTAGACATGAGGAAGTTCTCATGGTTTGGTCCATTCGAATTATTTCACAATCCTTCCTATTTATAGAAGATGAAACATTCTCTTGTTTACTCTCACCATCAATGTGGGATGAAGACATTGTAATAAAATACCATTTCTTGTTTATAGAACATTATTTAACTTATTTATAATATTATTATAAAGAAATTGAAAAGTTATGGAAGTTTCAAATGAATGTGGCAAACGAAAGTTAAAAAATGGAGTTTCAAATGCATGAGATTCAAGAAAAAATGCTAGTTTTATAAGTATGTATGATTTGTCCTACCCGTTAGAGTAATCTCTCTCTCTCTCTCTCTCTCTCTCTCTCTCTCTCTCCATCTCCATCTCCATTTGCATCTGTCTCTTGCGTCCATATTTCAGCATGTCAACTAACATAAGAATAAGCAGTGGGAAAGAATACAAACATGAGACGATTTTATTTTCGAAAGTTTATAATGAGAAACTAAAGTTCTACAACACGTTGATGATGGATAACAAATCTTTCCTTGAATCCAACAAACATGAAAGAAAAAAAAATACTTGAGGCAACAAATAATGTTCTGATCAGGTCCTTAAAAGAGATTTTGGAATGCTTTGAAAAAGAGAACATCATCTAGAAGCTTTTGTTTCATTTTATAAGATAGTATAATGTTTTAATATTTATGTAAGTTTTTTGTTTGAATATAAATAAATCAAATATGTTTGTTTACATCTTGTTCATAATCAGTTTTAATGAGCAATGTCTACGAGACTTTCAAGTCTGTGTTCACATGGGCATATCTCGTAATTAGAGAATATGTTATCTATGAAGGATATATTCTCCTTAATCATGTACAAATACATAACTGCAAGGAAATAAGAGGATTGTATAAAATAGGCTTAAAATGACTCTAATAATACATTATCTATATACACTAACAATTTTTAGAGTACATATTAACCAGTTATTGATTAAACATCGCATAGAGTTAGCACCTTGGTGATACGAGTCATGTGAGTGTCCGCATGTGGATATTGTAAAGAGCATATTGTTGCTATCTAGGGATGGCAAAAAAACCCGAACCCGACGGGGAAACCCAATTCCCGAATATTTCGGGTCGGGTCGCTTTTATCGGGTTTCGGGTCGGGTAACGGGTCTTTATTGGGTATTTTATCCGGGTTCGGGGCAGGGAGTGGGTATGCGCGCCCCGCCCCGAATATATATATATATATATATATATATATATATATATATGAAATTACATTGCTGCCCCTTGAACACATAACCCTAAAATCATGTTTCCACTCCAGTATCCTCCTTACACTTCTCTTCGTTCAATCATTCTTCTACTCCGGCCGACACACCCAAAAATCGATACACCACAAGGGAAGCAGCGAAGAGCGAAGCAGCGACTCAGCAACACGCGACGACCAGGGAAGCAGTGAAATCCATTGAAATCGACGTTCTTTCTCTTCCGACCAGTTAGACGGATACGCAACCCACACGATTCACGAAGAAATCGACTTTCTTTCTCTTCCGACTTCGATCGACGCCACGCACAAGAGGTAATTTCGATTCTTGAAATCCATTGAAATTTTGATTCTTGAAATCGATCACAGCATGAACATTGAAATTTCGATTCTGGAAATCGATCACAGCTTGTAATTTCGGTATGAACATTGAAATTTCAATTCTTGAAATTGATCCCAGCTTGTAATTTCGATTCTTGAAATCCATATGAACATTAAAATCTGTTTGTGGTATTAATTTTGATTGCACCATTTGTAATATGTTTATTGATCATAGGTATTAATAGCTTAATAACTTATTGATCTTAGGTATTAATTTCGATCACAGCTTAATAGCTTATTCACCAAGTCTGATTTCTCTACACATGGTATATGTAATATGTTTATTGATATTTCATTTCCTTAGATTGCATCGTTTGGGTCTGAACTATGAATTTGTATCTAACTATCTTTGCTATTAGAATATAAAAGTATTTATTGGCTTCCATGAAAATTTTGGTCTAGATACTTGAATGATATTACAAATATAGATATAATAAAGATAAACAAACACCCGGGACTCGTTTAGCAATGTTATTATTAACCTTCTATTTGAATTTAAGTTTTGTTAAGATTAAATTTTTATTTGATATCCGGCTGTATTATTAGACATTGATTTGGATTCCTTTAATAAAGACTAAGATGTTGTGAACTTTGGGTTTTTGATACTTTAGAATTGTTGAATATGATATGACATTGGTTATTTTTCAGGAAATATGAATTCAACTGAGCAAAATCATGCTCCAACTGCAAGTAGTCAAGATGTGGGAGGTTCGGGTTCTAATCAACAAAATACCGATTCTGTGGATCAACAAGATGGGACAAATATTAATGATACAGTTTTTGATGAAGATGGAGATGAAGTTGTTGGTTCGAGAAGGGCAACGCGTTCACCGGCATGGCAACATTTTATAAAATTTAATTTGAATGGTGAAGTTAAAGCAAGATGTAAATATTGCTCTAAAGTGTTGGGTGCAGATAGCAAGAATGGCACAAAACATTTACTTGCACATCATAAGCGTTGTATACACAAACCTTTTACAGATATCCGTCAATCTATCTTGGTGCAAGAAAAAAAGAAAGTAGATGGTACTACAACGCATGTTTCAAATTATACATTTAATGCTGATACTTCTAGGAAGGATTTGGCTGAAATGATTATTTTGCATGAGTATCCGCTTTCAATTGTAGAACATCATGGATTTAGGAAGTTTGTGGGAGGTCTTCAACCTTTGTTTAAGGTTCCTTGTCGAAACACCATCAAGGAGGACATCAAAAGAATTTATGATTATGAAAGGGATAAAACTATGAGTTTGTTAGCAAAGAACAAAAGCAGAATTGCAGTTACTACTGATATGTGGACATCTAATCATAAAAAAAAAAGGGTTTATGGCAATCACAGCACATTTTGTAGATCAAAACTGGAACTTGCAAAGCAGAATTATGAGGTATATTATACTTATTTAACTACAATTTATACGTACTTATTATTTATATGTTAATATTAACATATATATATATTTATATATTCTTAAACAGGTTTATTTACGTGCCTTGTCCGCATACATCTGATGTTCTTGCCGACATACTTTATGCTACTTTGTGTGATTGGAATCTTGATAGGAAAGTGTCAACTCTTACTGTGGATAATTGCACCACAAATGATGCAATTATTAGAATATTATTAGAGAAACTTCCTCTAAAATCACTAATGATGAATGGTGATTTGTTTCATATGCATTGCTGCGCACATATTCTCAATCTTATTGTCCAAGATGGCTTATCTCTCATTAAATTTGAGATTGAGAGAATCAGAGAGAGTGTTGCATTTTGGTCTGCATCACCAAAGAGGGAGCAAAATTTTGTGACAGCAGCAGAGCAGTTGGGAATACCATACTCAAAGAAGTTGATACTTGACTGCAAGACACGATGGAACTCTACATTCTTGATGTTGAGTGTTGCTATAAGCTACAAAGAGGTTTTCGATCGCGTGAAGACAAGAGACCCCAAGTATATATGTTTTCGTACAGACCAGGATTGGGAGTTGGCTAGTGAGATTTGTGAAAGATTACAGCTTTTTTATGAGGTGACTGATATGTTCTCTGGTTCAAAGTATCCTACAGCTAATGTTTTTTTTCCTTTGATATGTGAGATTGGATATTCTTTGCGTGAGTGGACGAAATCTCCTATTGAGGAGATTAAGGTGATGGCTAACCAAATGCTTTCTAAGTTCAATAAGTATTGGTCTGTAATTCATGGGATAATGGGAATGGCAGCAGTTTTAGATCCACGATACAAGTTAAAGTTTGTGGAGTTACTTTTGCCTGTGCTTTATGGAGAAGAAAAGGCAAAGATTGAATTTCAAATTTTGGAGGGGTTTGTCACAACTTTGTTTCAAGAGTTCGAGTCAAGTAATGCATCTAAAAAAAGGAAGAGTGAAGGTATTGTATTCTTCTTATTGTTTATATAATAAATAGAACATTATCTTAAATTATTAACATTTTTATACTAAACATTACGTGTTTGTGGTGGTTCAGTTCCCGGTTCATCTTCATTTGGTTCTAGTATCTCTTCTGGTCATCGTGTTGGATTCAAAAAGCTCTTATTGAATATTGCTTCTATTACTAGAGATGATGATGAATCAGGAGGTATGAGTGAGTTGGATAACTACTTGAAGGAGAAATTGTTGCCTAAAGACATGGAACTTGATTTGTTGGCATGGTGGAAAACAAATGGGATTAAGTACCCGACACTACAAAGGATAGCTAAAGATATATTAGTTGTTCCTGTTTCCACTGTTGCCTCGGAATCAGCTTTCAGCACAAGTGGAAGATTAGTAAGTCCTCATCGTAGTCGACTTCATCCAAAGACATTGGAGGCTTTAATGTGTGCTCAAAGTTGGTTGTTGCATGAAATTCGAGGTAGTATACTATTTTATATTAATTATATGAAATTGTGAATTTTTTTTTTGCATATTAATAATATTAATTTTACACAGCCACTTGTTCTGAAGAGACGGAGGCATATTGTCGTTCTGTTGAATTTGATTATGATGTGGAAGAGGTCAAACGAAACTCCTAAAAATATTAATTTTATATAGTTTCCATGATTTGGTTTGATTTTGAGTTTGTTTAATATTTTGTAGGAAAACACTAAAGAAAGCGGGACAACAAGTTTGGATGATTTTGTTTGATTTTGAGTTTGTAACTTTGTTTTAATGTTAAGTGGTAATGTATTATTGTGATGAATTAGTTTTTAATGTTGTGTACTTGGGTGTTTTGGTTGATTGGTTGATGTTACAATATTAGACTATTAGTAATTTCTATTTGGTTAAATGATTTAAGAACTTATTTGGTATTTTAAGTTTATGCATCGTCTTAATTTATCATTCTGTATTTATAGTTTTTCCTTCTTTTTTTTTCTGCCATATTTCGGGTTTTAGGGTCGGGTTTTCGGGTAATTATCGGGTTTCGGGTTTAGGGTCGGGTTCGGGGAGAGTTTTAGCCCCGACGGGGCGCCCCGATAAGAAACCCGTCGGGTATCGGGTCGGGTTTGGGCACATATGTAGATATCGGGTTCGGGTTTGGGAACCCATGCCCCGCCCCGAACCCGCCCCGTTGCCATTCCTATTGCTATCCGTGGAATTCAAGTGGCCAGAGTGTTTGTAAAGGAGGAGGGAGTCATTCTTTCCCAAACTACTAAACTCACTGTCACATCAATTTTTGTCTCTCATTTTTCTTCATCTTTTCCAACCCACAACACACGGAAATTCTATCTTTCTCAACCTACTCAACCCACTCAATTAAAAAAATACAAAACAACTAAGGTACAAGTTTTAAAACACATGGTACAAGAAAAAACGAGAGAGAGAGAGAGAGAGAGAGAGAGAGGATGAAGTTGATTAGTAAAACCAGTTAAACAACCCGTTGAATAGGGAGTGGTACCGGCAGTAGCTATATTGCTAATTAAGATTTTACATTGATTGTTTTGTATTTTTTTTTTAATTGAATGGATTAAATATGTTGAAAAATATGGGATTTCCGTGTGTTTTAGATTGAAAAAAAAAAAAAAAAAAAAAAAACTGTTGTTGCAGTGGATTCAATGGGTTAGGAGGAAATACCTCCTCCCTAAGGTATAAATTATAAACCCCTTATGAGGGAGCTTTTGTTTAATGTCTAGGATTTATTGTTTTATTCATTTTTTTATGTTACTTTATGCAATTTAGTTACGACAAAAAATAAAATAAAAAATACATGTTTTCCGAATTCCTTAAAAGAATAACTTTTAGAAAAGGAGAATTTTTTTTTTGAAATGATAAAATTTTATTAAAAACTAGCAAAACACTAGAAAATACTCATTACAAAGAAATGAAATTTAAGACCGGATTTTGCAACCAAGAAACTCAAGTCTAATAAAATTATATATATAGTTTATCATGATTTGATAATGTGATATAATACTTGTTTTATTAAAAAAAAAAAACAAAATTGTCAAAATAAAGATTATAGGCTATAGCCATCATATGTGTATTCTTTTTATTGTAAAGAGACCAAGAAAAAATCTCACTCGAAAGTTTTAAAAGTCGTTTTAGTTCAACAAAAAACTTCCAAGTTTATTTGAATCATATAATAAAACGTTTTACATCTATTTTATATATGAAAGAACAGAATTGTGGACCTCATGGATGTCTTGTGTGCGCCATCGATGGTGACCCAAATATGTGGTAGTGGTGAGTGGTGCTTTTTTAACTTCTTATTAAATTTCTTAATTCAGTAAAGTTATTTATTTTTCATAAATAGTAAATTAAGATTTTTAATTCCAAATATTTTTTCCTTTTCTGGAAATTATTATAATAATTAGGTGTGAAACCTGTGTATTACACGGGTTTATTAAAAGAAAGTTTTGATAACCACAAAAACAATGTTAATAAAAAAATAAGCAACTATTGAATTTGTGACATTTTTGTAAACTGCATGAACTATTTATGTAATTTGGTCTTAATTAATCTATAATAATAAAATTAATTAATGTAAATTCACAAATGAAATGTACTATCTATATTAATTAATATATTAATAAAAAGAGGAATTCATTAATAGAAAGTTATTATGTACATTAATTAATATATTTATAAAATTAATTAATATGAAGTAATATTTAATAGGTGAGATTTAAATAAAAAAGAAAAAAAAATCTATAAAATGGCAAGTGGATATTAAATAATTCTAAAAAATCTAGCAAATAACAAGTGTTAAAATGAAGAAGAAAAGAACATGTGGCAAAATCATTCTTATTTATTAGGATAAATTAGACAAAATCACATAAATGTTTACTAGTGTGGTTTATCAAATGTCACAACTTTAGTCTCTATTAATTTGTGTTTAATGTGTGTTGATAAACATAATCATTGTGGTTTTCTACAACTTACATAGTTGGTCCATGAGTCACATGCTACTTACCCTTTTTAATTTCATTTATTTCTTTGTAACTAAGTTTAGTTAAAAATAAAAGAAAGTAAATACACGTTGCCCGTCCTCTTATTTGAGAAAACAATCACAAGGCTCAAATGTGATTCTCACAAGAACTCTCCAAAACGTAACTACCACAGGAGCACTCCAATTCTAGCGAAACTTCGGTAGTGCAAAACAACGATACTGTCTATTTACATCCTAACACACTGTGAAAAAGGAACCAAGACGGGTTAAAGAAGATTATCAGATGAGATCAGTTCTCTCTTTAACACTTCAACATCAAACAAACACATGTGTGATCAACTTTCAAGACATGAAGATTGCTAGATGAAATCACACAAAAAATCAATTGCAATTCGAAATCAAACACAAATACAAGAAATCAATTACCAAAAATCGATTATCAAATGATTGTGTGCTGAAGAGCATTTGTTTAAACCATTGTTGTAAAAATCGTTCTAGGCGACTAATTAATTGCTTGACGGTCTTCATCTGCCTATAAATAATGCTAATCAATATTATTAGGCGGGCTAGGTCAAAATCAATCAATTAAGCAGGCTAGGTGGCCATTAATCGGCCTAGACGACCGATTAATTGGTCTAGGCTGTCAACATTAGTTAAAATGTAAAATGATCAAAATTATCAAACAAATGAAAAAGTCAAAAAAATCTATAAAAATATAAAAATTATAGAATAAAATACACGAATAGTAAATTAAACGCCCTAACTACAACTTCACATCTCTTTTCCTCTCATCACACTGACGTCTACGTTTCTTCATCTCTGATCGGCTTATACCGACATTCACAACGAACCTAGTTTCTATATATCTAAGCATAAAATAAATTAGACTTTTTATTTGGTTATATATATATATATATATATATATATATATATATATATATATATATATATACACACACACACACACACACATACACACACAAACGTTTTTACAATTTAAGGTCTTTGATTAATCTGCGTTTATCACAAATAATCATTTAACTCTAGTCGACCGACTAATTACCTCCTAACAATTTTTACAACCTTGGTTTAAACTAAAACACACTAAAATATGAAATCAAACCTAAAATAAGAAATCGGTTACTAAAAAATGATTATTAGATGATTGTGTGCTAAAGAACATCTATTTAATCTAAAACACACCAAAAATCAATTACCAAGATCAACATCAAGGAGTTGTTGGTGTGACGGTGTAACATCCCAAAAATTACAAATAGATTTTTTCGGTTTTAAATAGATTAACCAATCAATATTTGTTTCAAAAACCATTGAATAAAATTTGATTCATTGAAAACCATACATCATCATATTTAAGTTTACAAAACTGCGGAAACTAATATCATTAATGTGCGTGTACTGTCCCGCCGAACTATTCTCACGAACAACCTACAAAATGTTTAATCCACAACCGTAAGCATAAATTTTAGTGAGTTCCCTAGAATACCATATATTCCACCATACATAAAATACATCCACATACAATCCTCGACTCTAGCATCGAGCAACAAAAACTATTATCCACGTGCATATATCATACATAACGGACGCAAACCAAGAGTCACAAGCCCAACCCAACTCATATAACGGACCACCTAAATATATATATATAAAAGGGCCCGCCCAACCATACATAACGGGCCTTGTCCAACCATACATAACGGGCACCGCCCAAGGAGTAAACAGGCCTAACCCAAAAACCCATTGCCAGAAGCTACACCATGGTCTTCTGTACTATTTTCATGGGATAAATCCAGGTCTTCCATACAATGCCAAAGCAATACATAGTCGGAATCAGATAGACATTAGAACAGATGATCCACCCAAAAGCAATAAATCAGACAAGAACCATGCAGTCGGGGATTAGACCAAGAGTTCTCTAGCTATCCAACTTGAGTACATACAATCCCTTAGGGTAAACATTCAACAACCAGTCAATACTAACATTAACCTAACTAATCATGGCACCTAGCAATATCATATAATCAACAGTCAAAACCCTACAAGTCCAACATAGCAAGATACCAAGTGTTCTAACTACACATGTATAACAAGGAGTTAACTTAGTCAAATAGCATACTCGTACTCTAGCAATACCTCTATCATACCATGCAAATGATATACAATGTGATATATGAAACTCACCTGAATTGAAGATGTAACATCGTGATTTTTCACCCAATTTTTTTATTTTTAAAAGCATTTACTTATCAGAATACGTTGTGGAAGACTTAGTAGGTTTATTTCAAAAACATCACCAAAGTTATTTTCATGTCAAAACACGCCCATCAAAATTAAAGTTCACAAAAACATAATGATGAAACTCATCATGTCCAAATGGTATCATAACTAAAGATACTAACTAAGACTACCCAAAAGCTCCCATCATCACCAAAGCATCATGTCAAGCTACCTGTTCCAACATACAAGGAAAGCCAACAAGCAAAGAACAAGTGTTAGCATAAGCTAAGTGACTCAATATAGTACAATGTCAAGAGAACACACATATCATAGACAAAATCACACAAAACATCCACACACAGTCAAAGACTCACTAGCAAGACATGCAACATCACACCACATAACAAACACAAGTTTAGCTCAATTTACTTTAGTTCTTCAGTTAGAGCTTGTTTTATTAGTTACTCCCCTCAACGCCGTTGTAACTAATTTAATCTTATCGATTCACCGCTTAAATATTATTATATAATATTATGTTTCTCCGCTTTACATTAATAATTACTCACCGCTCACCGCTATAATTATTAGAGTATTACCTCTTAGTTAGGGTCTATTTATTCACCTCAAAACCCACAAAGCAGGACCTCGTTCGCTACTAACATG